CGCAGGTGACGCAGAACACAGATGAAGTCGAGGAGAGGAGTGAAAGAACCCAAAAAGCCCATCCTGACTCTGAGCAGTCATCAATGACAGAGACATCAGATATCCCTGCTGATGGGGTATCGCCATCCCCTGAGCTTGTCAAAAAACGTCAAGGAGGGAGACCTGGAAGGGACAGGCGAATGCCCAGCCTGACCAGGAAACCCAAACCCTAACGTAACTTTTAGCACTAGTAACTTTTAGCACTAAAACACAAAACCCTTTTTTTCTTTTTTTTTTAAACGTAGAATCAAGACGTCTTTATTTCTACTTATATTTCGGTTTGTTAACTTACATGTGCTGATCAAACAACCACACAAGCTGAGGTGGTTGATGATCAGCTATTTTGTTTCCTATGGAAAATGGTACAATATCAGCATCATGACTGATACGAACCAGATAGTAGCAGCCAGCCCAATTATTCCCAAGGAGTGGGAACTTATGAGTGGTGAATTGTGTTCTGGCTCGACTAAGAAACTCTGACAAGGGTCCTACAATGGAATGCCAGAGGACTGATCGGAAAGTGGGCAGAAGCCAAACAAATGTTCTTGGACGGTAATTACCAGGTGATCTGTATTCAGGAATCTCACTTTATGGCCAATGACAGATATTGTTTTGACTTACCACATTATTCTTTATACAACGCATACTCACCTCAAGGTGACAGGAGAGGAGGTGTATCGATATATGTATCAAATCGCCTGCCGCACATGGTATTACCTATACAGAGCAATTTACAGGTGGTAGCCTGCTCTGTAAGGTTACAGAGGGAAAGAATTACATTCTGTTCATTGTACTTGCCCCCAACTGACAACTTCTCATTTCAGGATATATCCCTATTAATCCAGCAACTCCCTAAACCATTTGTAATATGTACAGATGCAAACAGCAAACATTTCATGTGGGGAGCTGCGCAATGTGACAGACGGGGTTGCATCTGGATGGATGTTGTCAACCATCATAACCTACATGTTTTGAATGATGGACAGCCAACTAGACTGGATGAATCCACAGGAGATACGTCCCACATCGATTTGACAGTGGTATCAAACGATATCTCTCACATACTTGAATGGGACACTGAAAAAGACCTGTATGCCAGTGACCACTACCCCATACGTATAGATGTCGGTAATCCTACTGTCTACACGAACTTGCCCCCTGTTTTTTATGGATGGAACACGAGGAAAGCTAACTGGACGGAATTTGAAATGAAATGTGATTTCAAATTCAATCCTAACCTTGGACTGGAGAACTGTGATGAAATAACTCAAACTATTATTGACACTGCCCAGAAGTTTATACCCACCCGAAATGGTAACACCAAATACTCGTGTCCGTGGTGGACGGATGACTGCAGGAACGCAATTCTGACTAGAAGGAGAGCTCATAACAGAATGAGGAGAGACCCTCATTCCCAATTCCTACGAATTGAGTATAGGAAAGCGAAGGCTAAGACACGACGGACTATTAGAGATGCACAGATCCGCTCATGGCAGGAGCTGCTATCAGTGTTTAACCACAGAACCCCGATGGGGAAACTGTGGGATATAATCCGTAAGTTCTCGCAGAAGCATCGATACATGAGACCTCTCCCAGTTATTATGCATAATAACGAGATTATTGACGACCCTACTGAGGTGGCAAATCACTTCGGGAGGTATTTCTCGAATATGAGCTCGAGATCGAACTACCCCCAAGCCTTTCTTGACTGGGAACGTGAATTAGCAGAAAACTTACCTGAATTTGGGGATGAGAACTACGAGGATTACAACAAGGAATTTACAATGAGAGAACTTACTGACGCTATTAAACGATCTGGCTCTACATCCATCGGGCCGGACAAGGTTCACTATGATTTCTTCCGACATATGCATGAGACACAGCTGATTGAACTGCTTCGTTTTTATAATTATGTATGGGTGAATGACGTGTTCCCCGACGCATGGAGACATTCTTACATCATACCCATCCTTAAGCCAGGGAAAGACCGCAACCAAATGCAATCGTACAGGCCTATCCAACTTACCTCTTGTATGTGCAAATTACTAGAGAGGATGATTGGTAAGAGACTGTCATGGTACCTTGAGAAATATGACCTTATATCGACATATCAATGTGCGTTCCGATCAGGAAAGTCTACTGGGGACCACCTAGTGAGACTTGATTCGCACATACGGGAAGGATTCCTTCACCACTGTTCCACCCTCGGTGTGTTCCTAGACATTAAGTCAGCATATAACATGGTCTCCCCAACGGTTTTGTTGAATAGAATGTATGATATCGGCTTCCGGGGCCATATCATGCATTTCATTCGAGGCTACTTGCAAAATAGGACATTCCAAGTGAGGTGCGGAGAGGTATCAGATACGTTTGAGCAGGAATATGGCGTTGTCCAAGGAGGGGTGATCTCTCCATTGCTTTTTAATATTGTGATTGACTCTTTGATTGACGCAATACCAAGAGAGGTCTCTGCTGCTATATACGCAGACGATTGCACTATCTGGGCGCAGGGAAAAGATATCCCACTTATATTTCAGAAAATCCAAAACGCTTTAACCAGAATAGGACAGTGGTCAGAGCGGAACGGTTTTGTATTTTCCCCCATGAAGACTAACGCCGTTTTGTTTAGAAGAGGTTTAAAACGAGTGAACCAGAACCAACTACCTACTCTCAAACTCAACGGTCACCCTATTTGTATTGTGGACCAGGTCCGTTATCTAGGCGTCTTACTTGATTCGAAACTGAGCTTAAATGGGCACATAGAATATGTTAAAGGAAGAGCTCAGAAACGAATGTCGATACTGAAAAGCATTGCCGGAAAAAGCTACGGTGCCGACAGAACTGTGTTATTACGCATGTATAAATCCCTGATCCGACCAATACTCGACTATTCATCTTTTATTTTGGATGGGCCAGGGACTCGGCTTGTGGAGTCCCTTGAGACTATTCAGAACACGGCACTCCGCATTGCCACTGGTGCCTTGCGGACTTCCCCTGTAAGAGCATTACAAGTGGACACGAACGTGGAACCCCTCAGCATTAGACGCCGAGACTTACTAGCCCGGTACTACCTGAAAGTAAAAAGTGATCACAACCACCCCTGCTACCACATAATGGATTTAGACGCTTATGAACTATATGAAGATCTCTCCGACCGCTACTTGCGGAGGATATCGGGTCTCCCAGTATCACTACGACTGCGAAAGCTTTTTACCGAAATAGACTATAATCCTCCCGACATATTGTCTAAGGAAAATGGTATTACAGCACCATGGGTGTTGCACACCGTCCCCACACAGATGCTCATCTCTCAAGACAAAAGACATATGACTGAGACAGATATATTGACTGCTTTTCACGACCTGATGGACAAATACCCGGACCATAGGAAAATGTACACTGACGGATCCAAGCGGAACAACTCAGTAGCATGTGCTTTCACAGTGAACAGTGCCTTTTTCTCACATAAGCTGCGTGATGGGTTATCTGTGTATACCGCTGAACTGGTAGCTGTAAGAGAAGCGATGAAGTTTGTGCGACGTAACCAAGTACCCAAAGCGCTCATATGCTGTGACTCCCAAGCGGTTATCAAGGCTCTCACAGTGCAGAGCCGTGATCATCCGGTCTTGGTGGAGATCCTAGAGATAAATCATAAAAATGTACGAGATGGCATCGATTGCATCGTTGTCTGGGTTCCAGGACATAGTGGCATAGCTGGTAATGTTAGAGCTGACTACTGGGCGGGAAAGGCTCATGATAAACCTAATGTGACTGATGTAAAAATAGGACATCGGGAATTTGTGCCACTGGTGAAGAGTCGCGTCCGTGTGTTATTTGAAAATATGTGGTTAGATTATCGTCCAACTCTACTGAAGCAGATTAAGACAGATATAGGACATTGGAATTCTAGTGTACGTGCCAGTCGAAAGGAGGAAGTGGTTTTGTGTAGGATGAGACTCGGACACACTATTTTAACTCACTCGCATGTTATTGACCAACTACCGCCTATTGTCTGTGAACTGTGTCAATGTCGCCAAGATGTTCAACACATACTGTTAGAATGCCGAAAGTACACTGTAGCGAGGAGGAGACTCGCAGCGGCGTGTCGAGATGTCGGCGTCCGCATGTCGCTGGGGATTCTCCTGGGAAACGGTGAACCCACGGTGGTGGATGCAGTGTTCGATTATCTTCGACAGTGCAACTTATACGACAAACTCTGAACAAAGGACGTAGAGGCGTTATGGGTGCTAAGTGATGATAATGAAATGTATTTTGTTTCCATATGTGCTATGGCTTCAGATAAGCTCGACACAATCCTTCATGTTATGTTGAATCCAAGAACCATGGATTAGGTATTTCTAGTTAAAAAGAGTGGATTACTACTCGAGCTCATGCATTCATGGTTAAGCAATACTTCATCCATGGTCACGTTGTAAGAACACCTGTCTGAAATGTCTGAAATTGGTTGGGTATGTTATGTGTTTCTATGTCACCCCCATACTGTGAAGTGAAATCCCTAAGTATCGTGTAACCCCCATGTCAAGACCCAAGTTTTGTGTCTTTTTTTCTTTTTTCTTTCTAGATAGAACCATGCCTTCTCCCAGAGCGCCTTTTGCCCCCTTGAAGAATGAGCTGTATTGCTCTTCCTGCTTACCGAGCTGTTTGGCTATCCCCAAGTAGCTAAGACTGTAAGTAGCATTGTAGTATTCACAACTAATATTAACTTCTCTGTTCTCTCCTCGCCCAGGACATATCCTACCAAGGCTATCTCCTAACCATCGCAATTTTTCCTCTCCCCAGTCATTCCTCATCCCTACCCGGAAACCTGCTTAGTTCCGCTTAGTACCACAACCATACGCCAACTGCAACTCTGAAGACTACAAGAGGACATACCAACTTGGATGTTGGACGCTTGAGCCAAGCTGCTGCGCGCCCTAACTCTTCAACAACAACAACAACTGCTATCAAATTGCGCGAGCTGATGTCACACTTGTGGTAGTGTTGGAGCAATGGGCCTGTTGATGTTTCCATGGAAACCCAATTTGACACGTGTAAAAGCAGTGTGCTGCTATCACCGGTGAAACAGGGCCCTGATCTCATCCAGCTCCTTACTGGATACAGTCATGAATCTTGGACTGGGGTGTCAAAGGGTGCATCACCCCAGTGAGAGTCGAGACGGGCTTTGAAGATATTGACAGACGTAGAGAGGACCACAGAGGCAGGAAGTGCATTCCAGTCGTTGATGGCGCGGACTTTCCCAGACACTTTGCCGAAAAATCACCATTCCTACGGTACTTTTCTATCGGAGGCAAATCCTTACATAGTTTTGAAGTTTCTTACCATGATAAAAGGCAATTTTCAAGGTTTTATGAACATTTTCTATGTTCTATAATTTTCAAGATTCAAAGCAAAAGGCAATTTTCAATGATTTTGCTATTTTGTTTCTTTTTCGTCACGTTTTCTCTGGTGCGGTTGGCTATAGGCCAGTGGTTTACATAGCCTTAAACTATAGGCATAAAAAAGTCACAAGTTATTTCCATGCTTGGTCATTGGTGTACTTTTCCAGTCAAGAATAAACAATAATTCCTACATGTAATTTCAAATGTGGTTCCTTTTTCAATGTGTTGACTGTTAGGTAACTGGATTTACCATCATTTCCAAGATGTTTTCTAACATTCCTGCTAAATTTACCAACTTACCGAATGTCAGTGCAATAAAAATTGGCCGAGATGAAAATTATTGTTTTCGTTTATTCGCTTTAAGTCGATTCATTCAGTAAGAAAATCACGCAGAAACATACTGTTGCAAGAAAGCACACTCGTAAGAGAAGATCAAGATACCAGTAAGAAATTTGATCTAGAATGAAATTTTCCTTGTAAGAATTCAGCTTGTAAGAGAAGAAGACCGTAAGAATAATGTTTCGTAAGAAAAAAGATATGAGAAAATGTCCGGGTGGAAAATGCTCGTAAGCATATGCCCTAGACCCCAACAACACTATAGGTATCTGTGGTGGTGCTGAGGATACCACTAAATGAGAATGATAGCAAGATAAATGCTGTATTCCTGCAAGCCATGGTAGCCAATCTGTTAACATTACCTGTGAATCAAAATAATGATAAGCCAGCTGAGCGTGGAGTCAATATTTTGATTCCCTTGCCGTTTCGCCCCTGATTGACGGCCTATATACGGCCTTGCTGATAGAGCTAGAGCTTCGCGGAAGAAACGAACGTGTTGCCCGTGACGAGAGGAAGCCGATGATGCCCAATTTTTAGGTCCTAGGTCATTGGCTGACCTTCCAGGTCATATCAATGACCCAAAAGTCGGGAAAATCGGGACCTGTTAGAACGTCGTAAAGTGTGGCTACTATGAGGTTTTTCGGGGTGCTGATCACGAATATTCTGTTAGTTTTGATCACAGATGATGTCTTCATGCATTTAGGCCTGAGGCCAGTCTTACCAACAGAAAAATAGCTGCCTGCCGGAATTTTTTTTGTTTATGGACTGCTTCACATACGAAGCGTAGACGCGATGGGCACGTAAGCAGATAGGGCTGTACCGTTTACACTCCATATGTGAAGCAGTCTTTAGGCAAAAAATTCCGGCAGGTGGCTATTTTGCTGTTGGTTAAACTGGCCTCAGGTCAGGTCAGGTCAACCAGTAGGAGTTTTGCTGGGTAGTCGTAGCAGGTGGCAACCGCCTCTGACAGCTTCGTAACATGATACGAAGGTACCAAAACTGCTTCGTAAATGTTCAGATGGTTGCTAAATTCGAGTTCAGCTTCAAAAACGAGCCTAAAAGCATGTACAACTCGAAAAAGTGAACCGAGGTCATCAAAGATCAATGACCTGACCTGACTTTCAGGTGACCTTGACACCCACCCTTATGCATGAGAGCAACATGATATCCCATATTTGAACGTTTGAAATCACGAAAAGACTGCAATCGCGCGGCTAATGCGAGCCGACATACGCCGAATCGCGATCCCGGCTAAACATGGGCGCTGTTCGTTCGCGGTTTTTTATCAGCAGGCTGCGAGCATGCTGCTGTTTCTTGGCTCCTCATTGGTCGAATTCACGTGGTCTATTCATTTGACTAAGAGGCCAAGAAGCGCCAGCAATAACTTCCTTATATGGGAAGACTGACAGCATGCTGATAAAAAACAGCGACCGACCAGTGCTCAGGTCTCGAAAAGTAGGTCACAGGTAAAAGGTCATTAGGGTCAGGGTCATGCAATTTTCAGGGTAGGTGTAAAATTTGTTAACGTAAGGATACTGAAAGTTTCGTCGCGATCGGCCGCTTTTTCCGCGAGTTCTTCGCAAAAACCGAGGGGGGGGGGGGAGGGTCCGTTCGAACCCCCGCCCGTACGGGTGAGGGTTAATGTAGCTGTAATGCGGTGGTTCAAAAAGAAGGGCTGCTTCCATAGAGCAGAAGTAACAATTCACTAATACATATGGCTTGAAATGTCATAGTTTTTCCTTATTTTTAAATTTAGTGTTTGTGATGATTTCATGTGGTTACTTTGTGATTTCTCAGCATATAATGGTGCTATAATTGCTATAAATGCATGTTGTGTTTAGTCATTTTCGCCCAGTGGTGTGCCTACCTAATGTGTTTTGTTTTCAGCTGATTAGAGTCGGCAGTGATGGGTGCTGCCGTCAGTGGGCTGAAGGCGGTGTCTGAGAGCACCGAGCTGGCAAAGCTGGCTGGTACCGAGCCTCTTCCAGCGGATGACCCTTTCTGGCAGGGACTGCTTCAGTTTCAGCTCAGCCGGCGGCTGACCAGGTGAGCGGTGTGCAGTACCGGCCGCTGACTGCCTATCCTTTCCTGCTAGCTCTCTACCAAATTTATTATGCCATCATACTTACTATGACCAGGTAGACTCTTCTGTAAATCTTGTGATGCTCTTTCCTGATTTATCTTTGGCCACATGCTACAGCGCCGCGGAAAAGCGCATTCGATAGCCCTCCTAACGCTCTTAGCTACAGCGCCGCGGGAAAGCGCATTCGGCATTCGATAGCCATCTTAGCACCCTTTCTGACGTAAGCCCTCAGTTTTGACTTAGGACTAGCGGTTTTGTCTCTAGCAGGGCAAAAACTTGGAAATAAGCCGTTTTATTTTTTTTATTTCAATAACTTTTGACAAATGCACAACATGTATGTTCCAGCAGCGTGTTCCAGTTCTTTTCGTCGAAATCCGTCGTATGAACTATAATTTGACTTTCATAGGTAGGCCATTTTGAAATTTTGACCCATGGTAAAGGTCACGACCTGACCGGAAAAGGTCATGCAGTATATCAGTCGATCCGTATCATCAATCTGAACACATCTAACGTGTTTTCATCGCTTTAGCATGTCTATCAAAAGTAATTACAAAAACTACTGGGGGCATTTTATGACCTGAGCTAATCTCGGGGACATAAGGAGGGGTCACATATGCAATTTTCTTTTTCAGTGTGTGAATTTTAACCCAATACCTACCGATTTTTGAGTGTCTAGAATAGCTTTCGTCCAAAAGAGACGCCTTTTCAATTATCTTCCATTGACTTAAGAATGGAGAGGTCGCAAAATTGACCTGACCTTAGGTCACCGATATCGAAATTCTTAGATGTACTTTTTATACTTACTGTATTTCTTATCAATCTCCTCCTGTAGAGACCTCCCATATGTTACTAGTGTACTGAAGGCTCCCTACCTAACCACATTTACTGCTTTTACATTACTCATTTTAACTCATTTACTGCTTTACTGCTGCGCTTTTACTGATACGTTTTACTTGGCTGTGAAGGTGTGATTTTTGTCTGCCGGTTCACAGGGAGGATGACAAAAGGCTGGAGGAAGCCGTGTCTGGCCTGTTCAACACGTTCGTCACCAATAACCCGGAAACGGGCAACCTGGGAGCGCTCGTCCGCGTCTTCCTTGGGAAGGCCTCCGAGCTGAAAGCGGCTGCCCAGCTCGATAGGTGACTGTGCACTACAGATTCTTGTCAGTGGTGCTGAGCTGACGTTACATGCATTGTACTCCAAGGTATTTCCTCTGTTGTGCAGCAATTTCTATCGTAATTTTGTTCTAGATACGCTTTTACCAAGATCCCAGTAAGAATAAGATAGAGGAGAGTGAGAAAGAGTAAGATGGAGAGTAAGATTCCCGAGTACGATCGCTTTATGAGATCCCAGAGAGCGGTGCGCTGTGCGGCGCGCCTGCCGCTCGGGCCGCCCTCTGCTGACCTCCCCCTCCCGGCAGCCGTCTGGCCGACCAGACGCTAACCTCCCCCGGCCTCCCCGGCAGCCGGCTGGCCGCCCTCTGCTAACCTCCCCCCCCCCCGGCAGCCGTCTGGCCGACCTCTGCTGATCTCCATCCCCCCACCCCCCGGCAGCCGGCTGGCCGCCCTCTGCTGACCTCTGCTGACCTCCCCCCCCCCGGCAGCCGTCTGGCCGACCAGACGCTGACCTCCCCCCCCCGGCAGCCGGCTGGCCGCCCTCTGCTGACCTCCCCCCCCCCCCCGGCAGCCGTCTGGCCGACCAGACGCTAAACGCCCTGCTGGTGCTGCGCTGCGCCTGCAAGCTGAGCGTGCAGCTGCTCTCGGAGGAGGAGCTGGTGCGCCAGCTGGAGGCGCCGGCGCCGGCCGGCCAGCTGGAGACGCTGCTCACCGGACTGGTCGAGGTGCTGGTCGACGTGCCGCTGACGTGAGTGACGCCCCCCCCCCCACACACACACATACTTCCTCCCAGACCGGACAGGCGCCGGCGCTCAGTACAGTGTAGATGGGGCAGAGATTCCCCGATATGTGGAGAACATCTGTAAATACGTGTTAGATCCAGGCCTGTACGTGTAATATTGATACAACACGTATGCTTCTTATACCAATTATGTGTGTTAAGCTGTGTCTTTGTTCTGTGTGAGCACTTGCTACCAAGGAGTATAATCTGATTGTCCGAAACACCGATGGTTTGTGATAAAATACCATTCATTTACTAAATAGGTCATACCCTTTATAGTACGAGCTTACTTCGCAGTTCTGTAAGCGAGCCTCGTCTTCAAACAGAGTCTCCTCATTGACTGATCCGCGCTCTCTCTCTCCGTTTCTCAGCGATGCCACGTACTACATCCACCTGGAGTCGCTGAACACGCTGCTCGTCCTGCTGGCCTGCCAGCTGTACTCGGTGAAGCAGGCCCAGTCGCTGGTCGTCTACAGGTACGGTGTAGGGTGGGGTAGTAACTAGTACCTCCCTGCCAGCTGTACTCGGTGAAACAGGCCCAGTCGCTGGTCGTCTACAGGTACGGAACGGTGGAGGGAGGGGGGTATTTTACCTCTGGTGCTACTGGTGTGGCTCCTCATAGCAGACTGTTGACTGTTCACTGTTCATCCGTAATGTTTTCGTGCCTGAGGACGGTCATTGTGTGCGCATTCACGTCTTGGTAGGGAAGCATTCAGATGCATCAATTTTGTGCATTGCTTTTATGATATCGCTTTTTTGTGATATGCGTTACTTTTGTTCCGACCATAGCAGCGTACTGTTTGACTTATTCGGCCTATAACCTGTTTGTTAGAAGTACTAAGGGTAGAAATATGGACAGGCACCTATCTCTTATGCATGTTCTGTTCGACATATTCTCTCATAGCGTTCCTAACCGCCGTCCTACCTCGGTCCCAAAGTTCATTACATGTCTCATGTCAGATGTGCCAGTGAGCACTGAACAGGCCAGCGTTGAAAAGAGCTATTCAAACGTTTGCCAACAGCTGTTGTGCTTATCTGTTAACGCTACATGCACCAGGTGACATGTTTCTTTTACTTCATTACAAAATTGAAATATAAAATCATCCAATTATCTAAATTAGATGAAGTAGGAAAAGATTCACGATGGATGCTAGTACTGACTACTGACGCTCGCCATGGCCTGCCCTCGTGGTGCCGCTGCCCGCGCCGTGTTCTGCCCGCGTGGTGCTGCTGCTGATGGCCACTGCTGACCCCCCCCCCCCCCCCGTCTCCTGCCCGGACAGTACTACTACTGACTATCCCGTGTCCTGCTCTGACAGGACGCTGATGTCGGGCCGCTGCGCGATGCACGCGCCGATTCTGGTGCGTACGCTGCTGCGGCACACAGTGGCGCGCCAGCCAGTGCCGGACGCTCGCTACACCGGCGGCGGCAGCCTCGTCTTCGGGCTGGCCAGTACGTAATGGGGGGGGGGGGGCTGAGACTGGTCAGTACGTAATGTGGGGCGGCGGCAGCCTCGTCTTCGGGCTGGCCAGTACGTAATGTGGGGGGCGGGCGGCGGAGACCGGCCAGCACGCTCGGTACGTAATATGGGGGCGGGGGCTTGGACTGGCCAGTACGTTGTAAGGGGGTGGGGCGGCGTCAGCGTCGGCAGTCCAGTGGCAGGCGGCCGCCCTGTGCCTCTGCCGTGTCTGCAATACAGCTGGGCTGGGCTCTGTCGTCCTTCAGTTCCTCAAAATAACACTCCTTTTGCGTTCTCCATCGTAACTCATGGTATCACCTTTTGATGTCGCACATCCTGGCGAAAGTTGAGCAACGAGGTATCTACAAAATAAGCGTTTTTTTTCTCTTTTTTTCTTCTTTTGCTGAGCTCCCCTATTTTTTATCATTTTGTTGCAACATTTCTATGCTTAATTCTTGTTTGCTCGACATTCAAGCCCGAGCCTAAAGTGAAAATTTTGTGATCAACAGTCCCGTGAAGCGTGTTTTTATATAAAATAATACACGTAATAAAACGAGCTCTATGTACTTAAAAGTTTTTGTCCTCGAAGCCGCAAACTCTGTTGAGTGACCCAGTTTGAGTACCTCCAGTTTTGTTGGGCTGCAGGGGACGCCCGAGACGCGGTGACTGCCGCTCAGTGACGGCGCCCTGCGGCCGGCAGGTGACCGCTGTGTGTCTGTGTGTCTGTCTGTCTGTCTGTCTGTCTGTCATTGTCTGTCTGACGGCGCCCCGTGTCCGGCAGGCGGCCTGTGGAGCGCCCTGTCTGTCTGTCTGTCTGTGTGTCTGTCTGTGTGTCTGTCTGTCTGTCTGTCTGTCTGTCTGTCTGTCTGTCTGTCTGTCTGTCTGTCTGTCTGTCTGTCTGTCTGTCTGTCTGTCTGTCTGTCTGTCTATCTGTCTGTCTGTCTGTCTGTCTGTCTGTCTGTCTGTCTGTCTGTCTGTCTGTCTGTCTGTCTGTCTGTGTTCTGTCTGTCTGTCTGTCTGTCTGTCTGTCTGTCTGTCTGTCTGTCTGTCTGTCTGTCTGTCTGTCTGTCTGTCTGTCTGTCTGTCTGTCTGTCTGTCTGTCTGTCTGTCTGTTTGTTTGTCTGTCTGTGTGTCTGTCTGTCTGACGGCGCCCTGTGGCCGGCAGGCGGCCTGTGGAGCGCCCTGACGCTCGGCTACGGCTCGCAGCCGGCCGTCGAGGAGCGGGCGCCGGGCGGTCTGCCGCCGCTGGCGCAGCAGAGTCTGCACACCCTGCTGGTGCTGGGCAACCACTGCACCGGCGACCGGCAGCTCTTCAACCCGTTTCGGCAGGCACTCTTCCACATGACCGACCTGCAGGGTGAGCCGGCTGGGGTTCGATCTGTCCGCGCCTTGTCTCAGTTGGGGCATTCCACGATAGATCGTACCAGGCCCGTCACCCTCATCTCTCGGATTTTAATGAAAATCGGTCCTAGGGGTAATCATAGGCCCCAAAGACGCCTGGCAAAATATCAGACTTCTCAGATCAAAACTTTTTAAGTTATATTGCGTTACATTTCTTTAACTTCGGTTTGTAACGGTGAGTTTGATGGCCTATAACTCAAAAACGGGTTAAACAACCAACAAACAGTAAACAACACTAAGCTTGCGATGAATCAAAAATTAATATTATTATTTAAAAATTCCAAAGAAAAATTTTCATTGTTGAGCAAAAACCTTAATCTTTTTTTCATTTGCCTCTAATGACTTTTGGGACCAAAATTTTTCACCTTTTTATTTTTTCAAAATAAACTCCATGTCATTGCAAATCGACATGCAAAAAATTAGAAAGGTGTTCTTTCTATAAGTTCCTTATTTTCCCGCAAACAAAATGGGTTTCGGAGGGGTTGATACGACCCCAACACGCCGTTTCGCTTCTTATAGAGCTAGAGCCTCGCGGAAAAAAACGAGCGTGTGTGCCGTTACAAGTCGCAGCGATTGATACCCGATTTTAAGGTCTCAGGTTAACCGGTAGCGTCTGAGGTCAGGTCAAGTGACTGAAGTTACGGGTTCGGTTTTTAGTAAATAACTTCGCAAAAAAATGGCCGCAGAGCCGCGATTTTGGCATCATTGTGTTCGCCTAGCTCAGGTGCATCGAATGGTATACTTTTTGCTAGGGTGAGGTCAACTTAAGTAGTTGACCTCGGGTCAAGGTCAGGTCAGAGCCCCTCAGGTCATGAAGCTGGGCAAAGGGTATCATGTGGCATATCATTCGGTTCGGAAGGTCTTCCCGAGTCCATTGGTGGCTTTCCCGACTCTCTAGCTCCATTGGATCGGGAGTTATTGACGAAAAACTCGTACGATCCTAGTGACATCATAAATGACGTCACGCAAGGTTAACAATGCAAAAGTGAAGCATTGGACTTTGCAAGGAGTGCATGAAATCACGATACCATGTACATGAGATAGTTTTAGATCATTCTCGGCGCCAAAATAACAGTTTTTATATTTCCCATTGACTTATAACAGTGATGTCACGTGACCGACCTGTCCTCATGTAACCTTAAAAAATTCCCAGATATACAAGTTGTGAAACCTCTGGAGGACACCATGTATGCGTCCTGTATTTTTCATCTCGGACAGCTATGGTCATTGGCGTCCAAAACAATGTCAGAACCAAACAGCCTTTTTCACCCTCGCGCTTATAGGAAAGAGGGTTGGATGAACCTTTTTTTCACTTTTTTTCAGATGACTCAGACTTCGATTGAAATTTCAGTAACCCGTGATGTCACTAGGCAGTTTTAACACGCCATTTGTAAGCTACCCTCCCGAAATCACTATTCGAAACCGTTATCGTGACGTAAAATAAATACATTTATAGCAAGAACACCTTCCTAATTTTTTGCATACTTCTTAACAATGAGCCAAATATTCTTTTAAAGAAATAAAAATTTAAAAAAAAATGGTCCCAAAGTCCAAAAAATACAAATGAAAGAAAACTCGATATGTCATATCAAAAATAGCGTATTTTTCGAAATTTCAAAAATACATATTAATCTCTGTTTCATTGCAAGTTCAATGTTATATAACATTTGGCATTTGAATAATCCGTCTTAGAGTTACAGCCCGCCAAACTTAGCGCTGCAAAGCAAGATCCAAAAAATGTTATACACCATAACTAAAAAAAATATTTATCTGATAAGCCTGAAATTATTACAGGTGGATTCAGAGCCCCTGATTACCCCTGAGACCAAGTCTCGTCAAATTCCGAGAGATGAGGGTGTCAAATTGGAAAAAAGTGGTACGATCTATCGTGGAATGCCCCAGTTTACACCTCGAGCCTGTTGGCGGCAGTAGGGCTCCGGCTGACTCAGCGGTTGAGACTGGGACGGCAGCTGCAACGGCAGGCCGTCGCCGGCTGCCCGACTGACGCGCCCCTGCTGTGTGTACCCGGACCCGCAGACCCCTCAGGCTGCCCGACTGACGCGCCTCTGCTGCAGACCCCTCAGGCTGGCCGACTGACATGCCCGCAGACCCCTCAGACAGCCTGACTGACGCGCCCCCGCTGTGTATACCCGCAGACCCGGCCGAGACGCACCTGGCCGACTGACGCGCCCTGCTGTGTGTACCCGCAGACCCGGCCCGCAGACCCGCCAGCTGACTGACTGACTGACTGACGCGCCCCCGCTGTGTGTACCCGCAGACCCGGCCCGCAGACCCTCCGGCTGACTGACTGACGCGCCCCGCTGTGTATACCCGCAGACCCGCCAGCTGACCAACTGACGTGCCCCGCTGTGTATACCCGCAGACCCGGCCCGTAGACCCGGCCCGCAGCCCCGGCCCGCAGACCCGCCGACTGGCCGACTGACGCGCCTTGCTGTGTATACCCGCAGACCCGGCCAACTGACTGACTGACGCGCCCCGCTGTGTATATCCGCAGACCCGCCAGCTGACTGACTGACGCGCCCCCGCTGTGTGTACCCGCAGACCCGGCCCGCAGCCCCGCCGGTAGCCCGACTGACGCGCCCCCGCTGTGTGTACCCGCAGACCCGGCCAACTGACTGACTGACGCGCCCTGCTGTGTGAACCCGCAGACCCGGCCGAGACGCACCTGGCCGACTGACGCTCCCTACTGTGTATACCCGCAGACCCGGCCGACTGACGCGCCCCGCTGTGTATGTATACCCGCAGACCCGGCCGGCAGACCCGCCGGCTGACTGACTGACGCGCCCTGCTGTGTATGTATACCCGCAGACCCGGCCGAGACGCACCTGGCCGACTGACGCGCCGTGCTGTGTGTACCCGCAGACCCGGCCCGCAGCCCCGCCGGTAGCCCGACTGACGCGCCCTGCTGTGTATGTGTACCCGCAGACCCGGCCAACTGACTGACTGACTGACGCGCCCCGCTGTGTATGTATACCCGCAGACCCGGCCGACTGACTGACTGACGCGCCCTGCTGTGTGTACCCGCAGACCCGGCCGACTGCCCGACTGACGTGCCCCTGCTGTGTGTACCCGCAGACCCGGCCGAGACGCACCTGGCCGACGCGGGCGACGGGTTCGGGTTTGCGATGAGCAGCCTGTACTCGTTGCTGTGCTCGCCGCCGTGTACCGACCAGACCACGCTGCTGCTCTACCTGCTCATCCACAAGAACACGGCGTTCCGGCACTTTGTGCTGGCGCGCACCGACCTCGACGCCCTGGTAGGTACTGGACGTCCGACGAACAGGCTGCCGACTCATCAGCGTAGCCATGAGTCATGATGAGTACTTTTCTCGTAATCGAAACGAGGATAGTAAAGAGTTATCCATAATCTTATTGCTTACTCCAACTTAGCTTTCAAGTTTGTGCCTTATTAATACGATGGAGGCTTTAATAATGTGAAGTACGGGAAAGCTTATTTTGTGCTGTTTTCTCTGTTTCTTGGTGTGCGTATTTATCCAGACGGTAGCTATTCTATTTCTTTGCCAAGGGGGCACATTGGTCGATATTTTGGACTGCAGCAACGGAATCGCGAGGTTTGGAATTTGGATTAGACATGAATCCAGGTCGCGCGCTTTTTGGCACCAATGAGAAGTCTCCCATTCGGACGTGCGCTGTGTGCTCTGCAGGTACTGCCGACGCTGCGCGTGCTGTACCACGCGCCGGAGAGCAGCAGCCACCACATCTACATGTCGCTCATCGTGCTGCTCATCCTCAGCGAGGACGAGCTCTTCAACCGCTCCGTCCACTCCACGGTACGTGAGCAGCCGTCAGCTCCGAGCGGGGCGGCCGGCGGCCGACAGCCGGCCGCGGCCCGACACCACCCGTTTGTCCACACACCCTGTGTCTTATTACCGGAATAACCAGTCTCAATAAATTAAGCATTAAGTTTTCTCACTGAGAGAAAAATATCAGAGGACGAGAACGCGTCTTTTCCTACGCGTATCATATCAGCAACGTATTGCGAATGGTGGTGTTACGTTAGCAACGTCGCAAGTGCAGTGTCACATTGCTGTTGTGTCAGATTCTAGTTGGAGGGGCCGCGGTCCACATTGGAAAGGTTTCGGACGGGGTCGCGCCTGGGTCGCCCAGCTGGGTCACCGACAGGGGCCGCATCCACTGGGTATTTGTGCTGTGTTATTGGCCCGTGAGACGGACTGGCATTCCATGCCCACTCGTTAGAACGTCTGTTGACTGCTGCCTGTGACCGGTTGCTGGGACAGATGTTCGTGTAAATGATCTGACTCGGACTGCCGGGGCAGATATTCCAGCAGATGGTCTGTGTTCTGATCTGTGTTCTGACTTCTGACTGTACTGGCTGGCTATACTGACAGATGCTGCACCAGGTCAGTTGGCACACGGAGAGGCCGAGAAGGTCTGTGTTCTGACTGCTCTGACGGTGCTGACAGATGCTGCACCAGGTCAGCTGGTACACGGAGCGGCCCCTGACAGAGATCTCCCTGGGCGGACTGCTCATCCTGGTGGTGATACGCACCATCCAGTACAACATGACCAAGATGAGGGTGAGCATGTACCGATCACAACCACAGACCTGACGCACCATCCAGTACAACAGATGAGGGTGAGCATGTACCGATCACCACCACAGACCTGACGCACCATCCAGTACAACATGACCAAGATGAGGGTGAGCATGTACCGATCACAACCACAGACCTGACGCACCATCCAGTACAACAGATGAGGGTGAGCATGTACCGATCACAACCACAGACCTGACTCACCATCCAGTACAACATGACCAAGATGAGGGTGAGCATGTACCGATCACAACCACAGACCTGACGCACCATCCAGTACAACATGACCAAGATGAGGGTGAGCATGTACCGATCACAACCACAGACCTGACGCACCATCCAGTACAACAGATGAGGGTGAGCATGTACCGATCACAACCACCACTCAGACCTGACGCACCATCCAGTACAACATGACCAAGATGAGGGTGAGCATGTACCGATCACCACCACCACAGACCTGACGCACCATCCAGTACAACAGATGAGGGTGAGCATGTACCGATCACAACCACAGACCTGACGCACCATCCAGTACAACATGACCAAGATGAGGGTGAGCATGTACCGATCACAACCACCACAGACCTGACGCACCATCCAGTACAACATGACCAAGATGAGGGTGAGCATGTACCGATCACAACCACCACTCAGACCTGACGCACCATCCAGTACAACAGATGAGGGTGAGCATGTACCGATCACAACCACAGACCTGACGCACCATCCAGTACAACATGACCAAGATGAGGGTGAGCATGTACCGATCACAACCACAGACCTGACGCACCATCCAGTACAACAGATGAGGGTGAGCATGTACCGATCACCACCACAGACCTGACGCACCATCCAGTACAACATGACCAAGATGAGGGTGAGCATGTACCGATCACAACCACAGACCTGACGCACCATCCAGTACAACAGATGAGGGTGAGCATGTACCGATCACAACCACAGACCTGACGCACCATCCAGTACAACATGACCAAGATGAGGGTGAGCATGTACCGATCCCAACCACAGACCTGATGCACCATCCAGTACAACATGACCAAGATGAGGGTGAGCATGTACCGATCACAACCACAGACCTGACGCACCATCCAGTACAACAGATGAGGGTGAGCATGTACCGATCACAACCACCACTCAGACCTGACGCACCATCCAGTACAACATGACCAAGATGAGGGTGAGCATGTACCGATCACCACCACCACAGACCTGACGCACCATCCAGTACAACATGACCAAGATGAGGGTGAGCATGTACCGATCACAACCACAGACCTGACGCACCATCCAGTACAACATGACCAAGATGAGGGTGAGCATGTACCGATCACAACCACAGACCTGACGCACCATCCAGTACAACAGATGAGGGTGAGCATGTACCGATCACAACCACCACAGACCTGACGCACCATCCAGTACAACATGACCAAGATGAGGGTGAGCATGTACCGATCACAACCACCACAGACCTGACGCACCATCCAGTACAACATGACCAAGATGAGGGTGAGCATGTACCGATCACAACCACAGACCTGACGCACCATCCAGTACAACAGATGAGGGTGAGCATGTACCGATCACAACCACAGACCTGACGAACCATCCAGTACAACATGACCAAGATGAGGGTGAGCATGTACCGATCACAACCACCACAGACCTGACGCACCATCCAGTACAACATGACCAAGATGAGGGTGAGCATGTACCGATCCCAACCACCACAGACCTGACGCACCATCCAGTACAACATGACCAAGATGAGGGTGAGCATGTACCGATCCCAACCACCACAGACCTGACGCACCATCCAGTACAACATGACCAAGATGAGGGTGAGCACTGAGCAGTCTGGCATAAGTGGCTTAACGAGGCACCTCCCCTCATCCGTCCTGGCCATCCATATTTGCCAGTTCTAGGGGCTTTAGTCACTTACGTATTAAATTACTGGTGTGAGTGCTGTTGGTGAAAGGCTTTCAGGTTATTCGCTGGCTGTTATCTTACAAGACAAAACCAAAGTATGAGTAACTCATAAAGATAAACAGCACCCATCAACCGTTGATGTGTGCTTTGCATCTTTATTCTTTATGCCGTGTATTACCACAGAGTTTTGGACAGTCCGTGACGCCGCCCCGTATGCCGCCGTGACGCGCCCCGTGTCTGCCGCCGTGACGTGTTCTGTGTGCCGCCGTGACGCCGCCCCGCCTGCCGCTGTGACGCGCCCCGTGTCTGCCGGCAGGACAAGTACCTGCACACCAACTGTCTGGCGGCGCTGGCCAACATGTCGGCAGAGTTCCGCCAGCTGCACCCGTACGTGTGCCAGCGGCTGGTCTCGCTGTTCGAGGTGCTGGCCAAGCGGCACGGTCGGCAACTGGAGCAGCTGCGCGCGGCGGCGGCGGCAGCCGACGCCTCACAGCCGGACGAGGGCGCCGTACAGGTGAGTCCCGTCAGGTCAGCAGGTCAGGGCAGGTCAGCAGCCGACGCCTCCCAGCCGGACGAGAGCGCCGTACAGGTCAGTCCCGTCAGGTCAGGTCAGCAGGTCAGGTCAGCAGCAGCCGCCGCCGCCCAGCCGGACGAGGGCGCCGTACAGGTGAGCGGCGGCCGGCTCCGTGAATTGATGGTTGGCCGCGGCCGGGGGGTGGGTCTGGTCTGAAATTAGCTCAACCTGGATCTGTCACTACTCTAAATCGAATTGTCCGTTTTAATTTTACTACTTTGAATCAATCACCTATTATATAGGTGATTGAGTTGTGGTTGTTGTAAATTCCAAATATAATTCAATATTCTGATAGCGATTGCATAACTAGACGATGGTTGAATCGTTCGTCTTTTTTTCTATTTATAAGTCATTGCATTACACGATAGCGGTTAAATTTAGAACCAACCAAATAAAAGGAATGACAAACGGATCGTTTATTTTGCCGGGACGTCGTCCCACCGCCGGCGCGTGGGTGGCTCCGTGGCGCTGGTTTGGCGCGGGCCCGGCGGTGTGACGTGTGGGTGTGCCCGCCGGCCGCCAGGACCTGGCCGTGCTGGAGGAGGTGCTACGCATGCTGCTGGAGATAATCAACTCGTGCCTGACGGCCCAGCTGGTGCACAACCCCAACCTGGTGTACACGCTGCTCTACAAGCGCGGTGTGTTCGAGCTGTACCGCACCCACCCCAACTTCCAGGACATCACGCACAACATCGACACGGTGAGGAGACCGGCCGCACGCACACACTGCCGCCGACACACAACGTACGAACGGTGCGGTAGCGTGTATACCTCACGCGCCTGTAGTAATATCGGTGTCAAGATAAGGGCCTAGGCGACCTGTGGATCGGATGCGGTGAAGACCTTTACCCTCGCCACAACTCGAGTGGAAGGGGAGGAATGGGCTTGAATGGATGAGGGGTGTACTCGGCCCTTAGTCTGACAGCGGGGTCGCAGGCCAAGGGTATTCACCGCATCAAAACTACAGGTCGCCTAGGCCCTTTTCTTGAGACCAATAGTACACGTGTTTTATCAGTTTCCGATTTACCATGTCAAATATCGAAACAAAGGCTCCTACAGTTGTCTGCATGGCGAAATATTCGAAGCTGTGTTGTCTCTGAGAGCTGCGTTGGCGGCAATGTTTTACTGTTGCGGTTAGCACTGTGTGCGAGTGCGCCCACCGGCCGACCGTTACAGACGCCGCCCCTCCCGGCCTGTCTGCTCGCCAGGTGTTGCTCTTCTTCAGCTCCAAGCTGGAGAGCCTGCACAAGGACATCGGGGTGCGTGACGTGCACGCGGTGATCCAGGACGGCGCCAAAAAGTTCCCCCTGGAGCGGCTCAAGGTGAGGACGCTCAGTTCCTTTCTTATCCCAGCGGCCGGGGTCGGCCCGCTTCATATAGAAAGGCCTGGTAATGCTAGTGTCACTTAGCAGAAAGTGCCACCTACTCAAAGGGCCACTTTTGGGAACGATTCTGACGCGTTCATGTAGCCGGCTCATAGTCGCCCTTAAGCCACCCTAACCAAAGTGTCACTCTGGCTCGCACCATGTGCCCTAGCCCGGTACACTCTCTGACAATGCGTGTCTCCGCGCCCTCTATAGGTCCTGTAGTGTAGACTCGCTTGAAGCGTTTGCGATGACCAGATTAGTTTAGTTTAGTTTAGTTTAGTTTATTTGTAGATCATCAACGGGGTATGCCCCCAATCACAGATGAAGTCATTAACATCAGACTACTAGCGAGCGGTCCTCAACGGGTGCGCGGGTGCTGCAGGGAGCGGTGAAATGGGCGAACAAGTCAGCCTCTCTTCTAACCTCTGCATGAACATTCGTACAGATAAAGGGAAACCGATACAAGCTCTTGGATAGGCGCGTCTACTGGACACTAAAATATTGTAGATTGCATGGCAGGTCGAGGTTAAGGCAGAGGGCGAAGTCACAACCAACTATGTTGGTTTCGCAAACGAGACAGGGAAGAGCTGTTTGACGGCGTGCAGCCAGAGCGTGACAGCAGATCGGGAAGACCTAGCTGCCATTGTTTGTTGGTAAGCACATTAGGGCACCGTGTAAATTAACTACATAGTGAGAGTCAAGAAGAGGTCAAGCTGCCATAGGTCATCACAAAACAGATATTTGATATCATTACACATGTAGGTATGTTGTTTTATATACAGGGTGTCTCAAAAGTTCGTTCACACATTTCCCATGCCAATAAAGCATATAAGAACCGGCCAAAAGTATAAGGTTTTGGTGTCTGTGTGTACACTAGACAAATATGCATGCTTTGACAACTGATTAAGAAGGTTGGAAACCAACCCCTTTGCTGTATCTCCAAAAATATTTGCCCATACCGATTTTTGTTGCTCCGTCAGCTGCCAGAGGCTGACAAAAGGTTACCAGCTTTCAAGCTCTTGCAGAGGAATCCCCTGCAGTTTCTGCGTCGGATTTAGTTTTGACTAGCTCTCCGGCAACATCTGATTTTCCCTGAAAGCCGACAGCTTGCATCGACACCATTCTTGAGTATTTTGTAGGCATTCTCCGGCGCTAACTCCTTCATGAATGACTGGCGCCGACATCCCAAGCGCCATTTTCCTTTTCAAAACGACCCCAGTCCTGAACAAACGGGAAGTGCCAGGAGTAAATTTTTCGCATCATATGGTAGCAGAATGTGTCGGACGTCTGTTTCTCAGACACATTATGCAAATTTTGCAAATTCCAAGCGCTCGTCATTCCCCATGCCAAGACCTTCGCTCGGTTGCGGAGTGTTTTCCTCGGGAGATGTTCTGCTTTGTAAACGGCCCAAACCTGTCCATCGTGTGGTTTTATCGGGATTTTGTGTTTAAAAGAAAATTATTCGCTGCAGATCTGCCTCTTGAAACTTCGTTAGATAAAATTTTACAATAACTGACACTTTTAGAGGGTCAGGTGTCCTTGGCATTGACGATTTTTGTGTTATTGTCCCCAAAAATTAGCGTTATAGATATTATAAACAATTTTAAATTATAATTTGTCTTTATTTTACGATGACCTGCACTTTTTGAAAATGGGTAACCTCTGTCTGTGACCTTCTTGCCAGTTTTCAATAGTTATGACCGCATTTTCAGCTGCTTTCCGGAACACGAGTCTGCTGTCGTGCGAGGGTCATTCAAAACGCCGTTAGTCTCGCATGGTTTCGTCCTTCAAAAATTTTAGCCACCGTTTTTATGAGATGATCATCATGTTGCGCTCATCCTCGCCGACACTTAGCCATGTGTCATTTCCGACTTAACCATTCCCATTACTCCTGAAACAGAGAGTTTCACAACATACCCGACTTTGCAACCTACATTTTCGTGCCTGACCCATGGTTAGAGGTGAACCCTTTTTGTGAGCTCATGAAGGGTCGAATGCACTTGAAAACAAGGCTACCCTGCGGTGCACGGTATGTGGCCACGAATCGGTTACCTTCGACCCGTTCTGGGATCTGAGTCTGCCAATCCCGTCACGAAGTGGCCAGGTGCGCCTACAGGCCTGTTTTGACCTGTTCACCAAAGAGGAGGTGCTCGATGGCGACGAAAAACCGACCTGCTCAAAGTGCCAGAAGCGTCAAAAGTGCACCAGGAGCCTCTCGATCCAGAAGTTCCCGCGCATCCTCGTGGTGCACCTGAAGCGGTTCTCTACTCAGGAGAGGTTCGGCGGAAAGCTGAACACCACTGTCGACTTTTCGATGAACGGTCTGGACCTGTCGCCCTACTCGGCCGGACAGACGCCCTGCCGGTACAGCCTATACGGTGTGGCGAACCACTCTGGCACGCTGCTCTCAGGACATTACACCGCTTACTGCCGACACCCGTACACGGCAGAGTGGTACGAGTACAACGACTCGCGGGTCCACGTGATGGATCAGAGAAACGTCAACAGCGGAAAGGCATACGTGCTGTTCTTTGAGCTGGCCGGCTCGAAACACCGCTCCGGCTCGACCCACGTCTAGTCATCCAGTCACGGGAGAGGAGCCTGCGATCGTCACCCGCTCGGGCCCTGTGTAGTCGCACCGGCCGGCGCACATTCTGCACGGACAACTCTAGCCAGCGGCCTATCGTGATTTGTGATATTGGGTGTAAGGTGTTGTTAAAAACCAGAACGGTCTTTTTTTATCGTGAACTGTAAACTGTCTCGCATAGCAATAGAAGACAAACGGCTGCTAAAAAATGTAAACATTTTAATCGTAAAGTAGTCCAAATATTGGAATGAGCTTTTGCTTTTCAGCATCCTCCGATTCATCATCTTTATCATTTGAAAATTCGAGGTACATAAAATGTTTATCACGCGCTCAATGTTAAGCTTGAAAACAATGAGACTGCTTGAGGAAGGTTGTCACCAATGCCCATGCAAAATTTCGACTGTTAATTTCTTGTTGATTCAGAATTATTGACAAAAAAGCATGGCTGGTACCTGTGAACGAACTTTTGAGACACCCTGTAGTATAATAGGATATTTGAGCCGGTCCCGTAGCTCAGTCGATAGAGCTTTGGACTTCGCGTGGTGAGAGCACGCGCTCCTGGTTACAACAGTCCGGGTTCGAAGCGCGACGGGTGCTAAACGTTATGAGCCTCCTGACATGTATGGTTGCGGTTGGTGGCAGGCCGTAGCCAGGCAAAGTCAGTGAGCGGGACCGGCCGTACGTGGCAATGTGCGCACGTTAAACTTTAGACTCCAAAATTTGTCATAGAACCGGAATATCGCAATCAGAGGATAGAGGGCAGGGTCAACGCAACAAGCTTCGCCTGGCGGGGGATCTGTCCTTGTGAATCCTTCCATTCAAAACATTCGGACTAAATTTTTAGAAAAAGTAATAAACTCAGGCCAGTAACATAGCCAATAACTGGCCAGTAACATCAACTTTCGCCGCTAGATGGCAGTAGTAGAACGCCTGCAGTTATGCTGTGCCGCAGTGATCAGTAGTTTCAACTCTCGCTGCTAGATGACAGTAGTAGAACGCCTGCAGTCAGGGTATATTGACTTACACTACACCTGCAGTTACGCTGTGCCGCAGTGATCAGTAACTTCACCTCTCGCCACTAGATGGCAGGACCAGAACGCCTGCAGTTATACTGTGCCGCAATAACCAGTAACCTCACCTCTCGCCGCTAGATGGCAATAGTAGATCGCCTGCAGTTATGCTGTGCCGCAGTAATCAGTAAAGTCACCTCTCGCCGCTAGATGGCAGTAGCAGAACGCCAGCGTGTATCAGAAACAGAAAGCCGACACATTCTGATAACGATATTATGCAAAAAAAAAATTACCCCTGGCAATTCCCGTTTGTTCAGGAATGGGGTCGTTTTGAAAAGGGAAATGGTGCTTTGGATTAGAGTTGCAAAATTTCCCTACCGCACTACCGGCATGCCGGTAGTTTTTCACTACCGCAGGTTTTTTCGTGGTATCTGGCATGTCTTGCCGGTAGCATGCCGGTATTTTGGATTTTACACACAAAAAAAATTATCAGCATATGATTCAAACTTTGGACACTAAAAGGCTATTAAATTGTAATAACAGCAATCTTAGCCACTGCAAAATACATTTTGTGGTAGAAGAATCCATTGCTTAGGGTAATTGTACACATGAACCTCACCATTTCACAGGTTTGGCTCTAATAAGAATTGTCAAGAATCTACTGTGGTCTATCAAGGAAGAATACTCATTCATGTTGCAAAGCAAAACCAATTAGTAAGTCTAATGGTAGGTAATAGGTATAATACAATAAAATAAATTGATGTTAATGGCAACATTCCCTAGGCAAAAGGCAGAATCAAAACAACACAAAACACATTGTTTGGAAACTGGCCTTGAGTCCTGAGATGTGGTCTGAGATACTCTACAAAGAATTTGACACTGAAAATCCAGCTGAAAAGGAAGGTGTTAGGTAGCCCTGAGCCTAACTTTGGTCCCAAAATGAAATGAAAATGAATTAAACTGGCAGTTTGTCTTATCGTTACAAGAAAACACAACATGCAGACGAAATGAGTACAAAGTGGCGCAATATGATCAGCTGATCAAGTAACCAAGGATTAACTTTTAAGATCCTCTGTCCCCTAAAAAAAAATGTAAGCTGATGACGTAATATTTATTCATATGCCCTTTTGGTTGAATTACTCAAGAGAAGTGCATTTTCTTGCAGTGAATAACACTCACAGTTTGATTTTATTGAAATTTAATATCGTGTTGGATGATTTTTATCAATAAAATCATTCACGAGGCAGTAGTTTGCAGTCCTAAACCTTTTTTTTGCAGTGTTTTAATAAGCTGGTTAAAAACTGTGTTATGGCGCATCTGTTTCGAAATCCTTTATAACCTTGTGTTTGTTCCCGCGT